TTCCAAAGATGAAATAAAATAATCATATATTAAAATAAATTATTTTCATTATAAACTATTTTATAATATTTTGATCATAAATTATATATTGTATACAAATTTTAAATATTATTTATGATTATATTATAGATTCTTTTATCTCCATTACAAAAAAAAATTAAATATGTTACTGACATTTTTATTCCATTATAATCACAAAGTGAAAAATAATTAATCAATTTATAATATATTGTTACCCATATTACAATTAATTTAGTCTATTGATTTGGTTACCTTGCTCCTAACCATGACTATTTTGCCTTTTAGTTATGCTTCTACTTTTTTTTAACAAAATATTTGATAAATTTAAAAATTTTAATTTAATATCTTTGTAATACTACTTTACAGTGACATGCACTACCTTTAAACTTATTATTAATTGTGTTAATAATATTTGACACATAGAATAAATGAGACGTGAGAAGAAAAAGAATCATCTTGTTTAAAAATTATTGTTTGTAGGATCTTAAGAGGGAGAATCTATTAATGTGGTTAAGGGGATTTAAGCCCCACTAAAAATACATTTTCTTATAAATTTTGTTTTACATTTCAATCTTCCCTCTGATGAATAAGTTTTTTCTTGTTTAGTTAACTAAATTTATTTAAAAACTATTGAAGTTATATTAATAATTTATTTGAATGAATTATTTCTAATAATGATATAAAATAATCAAATATTAAATTAAAACATTTTACATTATAAACTATTTTATATTATTTTGATCATAAATTATATATTGTATGCAAATTTTAAATATTATTTATGATTATATTATAGATTCTTTTATCTCCATTACAAAAAAAAATTAAATATGTCACTAACATTTTTATTCCATTATAATCACAAAGTGAAAAGGAATTAATCAATTTATAATATATTGTTACCCCTATTACAATTAATTTAGTCTATTGATTTGGTTACCTTGCTCCTAACCATGACTATTTTTCCTTTTAGTTATGCTTCTACTTTTTTTTAATAAAATATTTGATAAATTTAAAAATTTTAATTTAATATCTTTGTAATACTACTTTACAGTGACATGCACTACCTTTAGACTTATTATTAATTGTGTTAATATTATTTGACACGTAAGAATAAATGAAACGTGAGAAGAAAAAGAATCATCTTGTTTAAAAATTATTCCTATAAATATTTTTGCTGCTATGATTTAAGTTTTTCTTAGGTAGTATAAAATCTAGATAGTTGAAATATATTTCAAGTATATGACATTGAACATAAAAACACTTCTCCACAGCAATTTGTAGAAGCTTAAGAGGGAGAATCTATTAATGTGGTTAAGGGGATTTAAGCCCCACTAAAAAAACTTTTTCTTATAAATTTTGTTTTACATTTCAAACTTTCCTCTGATGAAATAGTTTTTTCTTGTTTAGTTAACTAAATTTATTAAAAAAATATTGAAGTTATATTAATAATTTATTTGAATAAATTAATTCTAATAATGATATAATATAATCATATATTAAAATAAAACATTTTACATTATAAACTATTTTATATTATTTTGATCATAAATTATATATTGTATGCAAATTTTAAATATTATTTATGATTATATTATAGATTCTTTTAACTCCATTACCAAAAAAAAAATTAAATATGTCACTAACATTTTTATTCCATTATAATCACAAAGTGAAAAAGAATTAATCAATTTATAATATATTGTTACCCATATTACAATTAATTTAGTCTATTGATTTGGTTACCTTGCTCCTAACCATGACTATTTTGCCTTTTAGTTATGCTTCTACTTTTTTTTAATAAAATATTTGATAAATTTAAAAATTTTAATTTAATATCTTTGTAATACTACTTTACAGTGATATGCACTACCTTTAAACTTATTATTAATTGTGTTAATATTATATGACACATAGAATAAATGAGACGTGAGAAGAAAAAGAATCATCTTGTTTACAAATTGTTCCTATAATTATTTTTGCTGCTTTGATTTAAGTTTTTTTTATGTAGTATAAAATCTAGATAGTTGAAATATATTTCAAGTATATGACATTGAACATAAAAACACTTCTCACAGCAGTTTGTAGGAGCTTAAGAGGGAGAATCTATTAATGTGGTTAAGGGGATTTAAGCCCCACTAAAAAAACATTTTCTTATAAATTTTGTTTTACATTTCAAACTTTCCTCTGATAAAATAGTTTTTCTAATTTAGTTAACTAAATTTATTAAAAAAATATTGAAGTTATATTAATAATTTATTTGAATTAATTAATTCCAAAGATGAAATAAAATAATCATATATTAAAATAAATTATTTTACATTATAAACTATTTTATAATATTTTGATCATAAATTATATATTGTATGCAAATTTTAAATATTATTTATGATTATATTATAGATTCTTTTATCTCCATTACAAAAAAAAAATTAAATATGTCACTGACATTTTTATTCCATTATAATCACAAAGTGAAAAATAATTAATCAATTTATAATATATTGTTACCCATATTACAATTAATTTAGTCTATTGATTTGGTTACCTTGCTCCTAACCATGACTATTTTGCCTTTTAGTTATGCTTCTACTTTTTTTTAACAAAATATTTGATAAATTTAAAATTTTTAATTTAATATCTTTGTAATACTACTTTACAGTGACATGCACTACCTTTAAACTTATTATTAATTGTGTTAATATTATTTGACACGTAGAATAAATGAGACGTGAGAAGAAAAATAATCATCTTGTTTAAAAATTATTGTTTGTAGTAGCTTAAGGGGGAGAATCTATTAATGTGGTTAAGGGGATTTAAGCCCCACTAAAAATACATTTTCTTATAAATTTTGTTTTACATTTCAATCTTCCCTCTGATGAAATAGTTTTTTCTTGTTTAGTTAACTAAATTTATTTAAAAAATATTGAAGTTATATTAATAATTTATTTGAATGAATTAATTCTAATAATGATATAAAATAATCATATATTAAATTAAAACATTTTACATTATAAACTATTTTATATTATTTTGATCATAAATTATATATTGTATGCAAATTTTAAATATTATTTATGATTATATTATAGATTCTTTTATCTCCATTACAAAAAAAAAATAAATATGTCACTAACATTTTTATTCCATTATAATCAAAAAGTGAAAAGGAATTAATCAATTTATAATATATTGTTACCCCTATTATAATTAATTTAGTCTATTGATTTGGTTACCTTGCTCCTAACCATGACTATTTTTCCTTTTAGTTATGCTTCTACTTTTTTTTAATAAAATATTTGATAAATTTAAAAATTTTAATTTAATATCTTTGTAATACTACTTTACAGTGACATGCACTACCTTTAAACTTTATATTAATTGTGTTAATATTATTTGACACATAGAATAAATGAGACATGAGAAGAAAAAGAATCATCTTTTTTAGAAATTGTTCCTATAAATTTTTTTGCTGCTATGATTTATGTTTTTTTTAGGTAGTATAAAATCTAGATAGTTGAAATATATTTCAAGTATATGACATTGAACATAAAAACACTTCTCCACAGCAGTTTGTAGGAGCTTAAGAGGGAGAATCTATTAATGTGGTTAAGGGGATTTAAGCCCCACTAAAAAAACATTTTCTTATAAATTTTATTTTACATTTCAAACTTTCCTCTGATAAAATAGTTTTTCTTGTTTAGTTAACTAAATTTATTAAATAAATATTGAAGTTATATTCATAATTTATTTGAATTAATTAATTCCAAAGATGAAATAAAATAATCATATATTAAAATAAATTATTTTACATTATAAAATATTTTATAATATTTTGATCATAAACTATATATTGTATACAAATTTTAAATATTATTTATGATTATATTATAGATTCTTTTATCTCCATTACAAAAAAAAATTAAATATGTCACTGACATTTTTATTCCATTATAATCACAAAGTGAAAAAGAATTAATCAATTTATAATATATTGTTACCCCTATTACAATTAATTTAGTCTATTGATTTGGTTACCTTGCTCCTAACCATGACTATTTTTCCTTTTAGTTATGCTTATACTTTTTTTTAACAAAATATTTGATAAATTTAAAAATTTTAATTTAATATCTTTGTAATACTACTTTACAGTGACATGCACTACCTTTAAACTTATTATTAATTGTGTTAATATTATTTGACACGTAGAATAAATGAGACGTGAGAAGAAAAATAATCATCTTGTTTAAAAATTATTGTTTGTAGGAGCTTAAGAGGGAGAATCTATTAATGTGGTTAAGGGGATTTAAACCCCACTAAAAATACATTTTCTTATAAATTTTGTTTTACATTTCAATCTTCCCTCTGATGAAATAGTTTTTTCTTGTTAAGTTAACTAAATTTATTTAAAAAATATTGAAGTTATATTAATAATTTATTTGAATGAATTAATTCTAAAAATGATATAAAATAATCATATATTAAATTAAAAAATTTTACATTATAAACTATTTTATATTATTTTGATCATAAATTCTATATTGTATGCAAATTTTAAATATTATTTATGATTATATTATAGATTCTTTTATCTCCATTACAAAAAAAAAATTAAATATGTCACTAACATTTTTATTCCATTAAAATCACAAAGTGAAAAGGAATTAATCAATTTATAATATATTGTTACCCCTATTACAATTAATTTAGTCTATTGATTTGGTTACCTTGCTCCTAACCATGACTATTTTTCCTTTTAGTTATGCTTCTACTTTTTTTTAATAAAATATTTGATAAATTTAAAAATTTTAATTTAATATCTTTGTAATACTACTTTACAGTGACATGCACTACCTTTAAACTAATTATTAATTGTGTTAATATTATTTGACACGTAGAATAAATGAGACGTGAGAAGAAAAAGAATCAAACGACTTCGGCCTAACCCTAACGGGAATGAGCAACAACGAAATGACAGGATGGGGTGCTCCGGGCACCCCCATTTAGAAAGAAGGGTCGAAGGTTTTGGGCCTGTAGCTTTCCCCGTCCCCCCTTCGTCGGGTGGTGCTTGTGTGGGGGGTGTGCCACCTGAACCTGAAATCGGGCTTGAAGCTCTCGCCTTACCAACGAGCCGACAGCTGATGGCTGTTGGTCACGACTACCACCAAAAAGCTCCAATGAAGATGAATATTTCACATTTTGGAGTGTGCATCTGTATGTTGGGTGTTCTTCTGTCGTGCGACCCGGCGGCTTATGTGCGACCTGTGGCCCACGCCTCCTATTTGTTCGGGGCGGGCGGCGTGAACTCTGACTCGATCCGGGTATTCAATCCCGCCGCTGAGATGCTCAGTTGACTCCTTAACCTTGATAGGAAGATGGCTTATTCAATAATTCGTGCATAAGGGTAAGGAACTTTGGATGAACTAATGCGAATGGGTGTAAGCCTCGCAGCTCGGAAACACCCAGTGCTGACCACACTGAGAGAGACGAAAGCGCAGGTAATGCCAGTTGGCGAAGTGGCGTTAAGCATCCCTAGCGGTACGAAAAGAGAGGTCGTGATGATATCATCTACGTCCGTACCGCTCCTCGCGGAGTAGATCCCGCATCCAACCAAGTCTTTGACCAGGGAACGGGAAAATTACCACTACCGCTGGAAGGCCAGCCGGGCCGTGAGCGCGGTGGGAACGGGCTTCCCAAAAAGCCAGCCCCGGGCCGGGGTCGGCATAGAATGAAGGGGACGGCCCTAATGTTGTGTTGGCAAAGCCAACTTATTGGGTTGCGGGCGGAGAAGAGCGGACGTGGGGACTCAGACCGGGGCGCAGCGTAACAAAGAGAGCCATTCCATTTAGGGCGAGACAGAGTGGGCGGGCACGAGTGGTCTGGTGTCCGAGCCAATTGGTCAGACGACGACTACTTCACTTATTAGATTAGTATCCACCGCCTATCCCGAAAAAAAAAGGGATGAAATAGAAAGAACGCGAAGCGCTAGCGCTATAGTATATAAATGGATTTTGGGGGGGATTTGCTTCTTCACAAGCTTATCCCCGCCCCGGCCGGCAGCTGCTGGGTCTCCCCATCTCTCCTAAACTTCCCCCGGTCTTCGGCCCGAGCTGTATGAGGCAGAAACTCGCCCCACGTACGGTTCGGAGGCCGAGTCCCACCCCAGCAGTAATGGTGCGGCTTAGGTCAACTAACACAAAGAAGATACAGTTCACTCAACGATTGCCTTTGGGTTCCGAACTCCATATGGGGAAGGAGCGTTGTTGTTTCCGAGGTCTCGATCATTTACATGGACCCACTTCTCATTCCATTTGTGGTAATTTTCTGATCTATAAACCGTCCCTAACGAACGATCGCCTCATGTTTGAGCATGATGAATCACTTCGTGCCGACCTGTTGCCAATAAACTTTCCGGCCTCATATGAGAATGGAAAACTGGATAATTTTCTGCATCGGTGGATGAAGAATAGCGAAAATAATAATTTATGGTTGACCATGTTCCCAGAAAAAAGATACTTTAGAGAAACAACGAGCACGACTGAAGTGGCTATACATACAAATCCATTTACGGATAGATATGCTTCGATTGGAACTGGAAGTTCCAGAACAGGCGGCTGGTATACCACCATAATTAAACTGCCTTTTATTTTTTTTATTCGGATAGGATTTATGTTGGCTTCGTCGGGAGGCTCGCGTAGTTTGTTACGTCAGCTCCAAAAGGATAAGTTGCGTTGGAATCGATAAAGTTCCGTGGAATTCTTAATTGCATTAAAAAAATCAAAGGAGTCTTCAACCCTCTCAATCAATAGAGGCTAGATCGGACTAAGGAGAGAGACGGTTGAGTACGGAAGCGAAAGCGGAGATATAGGCTAGCTAAATGCCCTGTGATAATACTGACATGAGTCAGGATAAATCCGAATGACTAGTGGCCATAACTCATTAAGCAATCTTAACCTTTTTCGCTTAGCCTTTCCTCTTTCTACCGTTACGAGATGCAGTATCCTCTAACGTCTTTGCTTGGAATTCCGGTGTTCAGCCCGCGGCTGAAGCAGAGAACCGCACATCTTCCCTCGAGCAAGGAGAGGGTCTCGGAGCACATAGAGGAGCAGTCCGTTTATAAGGACTTTCTGAGGGATCGCTTTCAGCTGGATCGAGCTCTCATGCTGATCGGAGGAATGCCAATCTCTCTTTCTTTTCTGAGAAAGCACTATTTTTCTCTTTGTTGCAAAGTCGTCTTATGATTCCGAATTCCCTTCTTGAAGGTTGCGTCATCAGAGAAGGTCCTTGTTCTGTTCTGGCAGTCAGAGTGATGGCTCCTCATCCTCGACAGAGCAATGTTAGGTTTCTGAGACAGTTGAAGAAGAACCCCAAGTCTCAGGTGATGTAGATAAGAAGTCCAAAGATAGAAGGTGATCCTAATTACATTGAACCAATGGTTATAGTTAGACTTATGGAGAAGGCTATTATGCTTCTTCACTGCCATCCAGATGGATATGCTAAAGCAAAGGGTGCAGGAACATCAGATACAAAGGTAGAGACTATAAGTAAAGAATCGGATAGGGTAAAAAAGGGAGTAATTCCTAGTCAAACAAACAAAAATGAAGAATAAAAGCATGTAGTTGGGAATGCTACTGAGGGCTAATCCAGAGTGAAAAAGGCGATGGCGCTTGCCGTAGAAAGAGATTAGACCGGTTTGGTACTCCAACTACCAATGAAAAAAAGTTTTCAATACAAATCCGTGAGTTGAGTCTAGTCATGCTGCTTCAAAAGAATCCTCTGGGTCTTTTCTTCCTATCTGGTTCTCTGGAACCAACCCCTATGTTCATAAGCACACTGAGCCTTTCAATAATATCCATCCAATAAAGAAAGATTTAAAGAAAGTTTTAGACATAATTAACTACACTTACTAGTCGTTGGGCTTTTCCAGCCAGGC